CAGAGAATCAACACTAATTGCAAGAGTAATTGAGTAATACTACCTTTTGCTTATAACAATAAGTTCGATCTGGGCATTATACATGAGGTGAATTTCAGGAAAACTTAATGCTTGATTTTTTTTTTTTTAAATTACGAAAGCAAACTTGTGACATGAATATACTCACATAATAGTCCCAAACCAGGGGGTTCACAGCATTAGGACTCTTGACTACTACAAGTTTTTTGTCCTCTTCTGATGGACGAGGATTCACTGCATTTCCCACATTGAGTCTATTTACTTTATCTATAAGAAACAAAATGGAAGAGCTGTAAGTCACTTGCGCCTTGAAATCCTTGATACATTCAAGCTATGCTAATGGAACAAATGATTACCGCAATAACCAGCAAGGAGGGGTTTTCTTTCTTTTACATTATAATGTGCCTTTCTTTTTTTCACCTTCAATTCCCTCTTTTAGTCTTAGTTTTTGGTGGGTGAGGGAAGCAAAGGGAGAAGAATGTGTTATGATGAAATTGCTTACACACAAGCCAAGCCCACCCAGAACCAAATTGTGTTGCAGCAGCTGCCTTGAATTCTTTGGCAAATTGTTCGAAGGAACCAAAATCCCTGATTATTAGCTCTAAGAGCTCTCCAGACGGCTCTCCTCCACCTCCTGGTTTTATTGACTCCCAGAAGAAATCATGGTTCCAAGCCTGTATTAGTATAATTAACTCAACTAAGAATCTGCAATATAACATTTAACAAGCAAAAGAGGCAGGCAGGTTAAAGGTAGTTTGAAGCATGCATAGATCTCAAATCATGTGAAACATAATCTTGCCAAGCAAAAGAAATAAATATAAGCATGTTTAAATTTGTAAATACGATTTTCAGTTTATCATCATTTAGTTCCAAGGACTTATGGTAGAGAACATCAACCTTGTTCAAATAAGAAACCATTGAATTGGACAACCAAGAAATATTCCCAACCAAATATGAAAGAACAATAAAACAAAGAAAAACTTGGCACATTAAGAGCTAAAGACGAAGGTACTAAGTGACATCACCTGTGCGGCATTATTGAAGGGTGGAAGAAGATCCCCATTGTTGTATGTGACTCGTATAATGTCTTCTAATGTCATTCCATCCAATTCAGTTCCAACTATTTGCTTGTTCAGATTCTCCACATAAGCTCTGTGATGCTTACCCCAGTGGTATTCCATTGTATTACGACTCATGACAGGTTCCAAAGCATCCTTATTTAAAAAAAAATGTAAAAGAAATAGCACATTAATATGTAATACTAAACAACAACTAAAAGATCAGTCGGGGGCTGAAAACAGCCCAAATATCATGGTGAAATAAAATTAGCTTGGAATTACTCAGGGCATTTTCAGGTATGTTTCTGGTGAAGATTAGTGAAAGACAGCCAAAGACAATGACCAGCTAAGATATGCCCAATAAATCCAGCAAAAGGCAAGTTGTAAACTTGATTTGTTCATAAATAATTAGCATATTGTATCAACATACGGAAGTTGGTTTGACCGGGTAATGTGAACAGGGCTTAAGGCCAAATACCAACCAAGATGGCTAAATCATCATGCCTTTTTAATTGAGTTGCTCCAAGGTAGCCTGAATGAATTAACTGACCAACCAACCCTGATTCAACACGTATGATGAGAAAACAAAATTTGTGTATTGAAATTCAAGACAACAATGCACTTACCAGTGGGTATGGTGGAGGCTTTAAGTCAAATTTTGCAGTAATTTTAGGAGGACCAGCCTTTCTCAGACACTTTCTCTGCAACACAAGGACTCAACCTCAAAGAAAACTCAATAAATGAAAAAATCACATTCAATTGACAAGAAAATATTGCTTCCCAACGTTCAGTTCTTGTTCCAATGTTAGACCCATGAATTGAGCTCATCTTCTACCACTTGTCCTAGATTCATTTTAACTTGTAGAATCACTGAAACTGCAACTGAACTACACATAGGTTGGTTATACTTGAAAAGCGTAGCTAAACAAAACATAGCCGCCTAGAATCAGTATACAACTCGCTTCCACCTACTGGAGTCCGCATATGTGCTGCAAATATCGATGTATATATGCAAATGAGAAGTAATTCAGGACCAGAAAATAGCCCCTCGGAACAACACGTGAAAGTCGCAACTCGAGATGCAATATCCAACATATGCATTCAATCAAACACTAGCAAGGCATCCAACTGATGTCCCATTTCATTCAACCATAGAAAACAAAAAGAAACGCAAAGTTTCCGTTTAAAATTGAAAGTTCACAAACTAATACTAACAATTCATGTAACATAACCAGATGGAGATGCAGAAAACGCACCTCAATCTTTTTCCATTGAAAGCCCCGAGTTGAACCCCGAAATCCTTCTGCATAAATACAACAGACAAGAACAGTTCTTTAGTAGTGATAAATCCACACATACATGCCAAATAAATAATAAATAAATAAATTCACAAAATCAAAGAGGTAAGCAGAGAGATGAAGATGGCGACCTTGGGAAGTGAGAAAAGCAGAAATTGGCGGAGTAGCATATGCAGTTGTGGCCATCATATTGCTGGCTACTCTCTCTGTGTAGTCGAAATCGGTTTTAGAATTAGGGAGGATAAGACCCTGAAAATGCCGTGGTCGGTACTGGTTGGTTCTACTTATTTAGTAGCGGTCTAAGTAGCAGTAGGGTTCGCGGCTCAGGAGAAAAACGCAGTAACTTCGGGTCGGTAGCTCAACTTGTACGGCGTGGAAGTGTGTGGAAATTGCAATTTGTACTTTAAGCAAGACGACATCCACAATATATTAGTATATGCTACTGCAACTAGTAAATACATTACTATGTGCTGTATTTTCAACCCGAAAGATGAAAATAACATATATATATTTGTATATTTTATGATTTTTTTTTAAAAAAAATCAACTTGTATCATAAATATATTTCTAATTTTTTTATTTTTTAATACTCCAATTTAGAGATTTATGTTGAACCGAGATACAACATAGAAAATACCTGCAAATATTTTGACTAGTCATGCATGAGTATAATTTGACAATTTATTATGTTTATCCAACATAGAAAAAACCATCAAACGATTTGATTTAGTCATGCATGAGTCAACACAGAAAAGAATGTTGAACTTGAATTTGAATTGAAATATATGAACTGGGATGTAGATTTTACAAAAATACAAAAAAGAAAAGATAAGAGAAGAAAAAAAAAAACAATTATCTCCATTTCATCTTAGTTGCCGACAAGGTAATAGCTAGATGTTTTTTGAGTTATATCTCGTGTTAATAATGTCCTTAAATTTTTTAAATAAAGTTATTAGAAAAAATAAAGTTAATAACACTTTGCCCCCTGAAACTAGGGATAGTTATGCTTTATTCCCTCAATCTTAAATATATACACTTTAGTTTCCAAGAAGGCTAATAAAAACTAGAAATATCAAAAAAAAAATTGAGTGTAATGATATTATTTATAACTTAATATCATTTCATTTCATTGCTAAAAGATTTATATCTTCTCTATCATATCAATTATACAAAAATATCAAACTAAAAAAATACCAAAATCATTTTTAAAGTAATTTTTTATAAATTTCATTTATTCAATCTTTCACACTAATATCATTGTCATTTTTTGTTTATCAAATTAGTCAAATATGAAATTCTTAATCAAATTTGATAAAAATGGTTGATATGCCTAGTTTTAAACTCAGAGAAGGAAAATGGAGATTAAATCAAAATTTATTTTTTGAGAAGAAAGTATAATAATCGTTAACTATAAATACATGAACAGAAAATGACAATGGTATATATTACCCTAAAAGTTCGCATAAATTAAAATAATAAAAGGCTGTTTCTTAAACAAAAAACAAGTTTTGTATTACCTCCTTTTCAAAAAAAAAAAATGGTATCTCTATTTATTTTAGTATTGTGTTGTTTATTCTTTTTCATTTAACTTAAATTATAACAAATTGGAGAAAGCATATATAAAAGTGAATACTAACCGACAGGAAAATTTTTAAGGATATAAACTAAATTTAACCTTTTCAATTTGATATTGTTATATAATTGATATGATAGAAAAGATGTAATATTTTTTTAGCAATGGAAGGAATTAATACTTTTTTTTTATCGAAACGATAGATAGCTTGCATTAATATTGCCAAACGGTACAATGGAAGGAATTAATACTAAGTTATAGATAATTTCATGAATATATGGACAATAACGTCATTGCACTCTCTCTCTCTTTTATATATATTTTAAACTTTGACTAGTGTTCATGGTGGTGATTAAAGTGTAGATATATATATTTAAGGTTAAGAGAGATAAAGTGTGACTACTCCTAAGTTTGGCCGGCAAAGTGTTATTGACCCTCAGAAATATAGTAGGTAAGTCAATGCTGATGCGTGCATGGTTTTATGCCTATAAGCATGAAATTAGGAACTGGCTTCAAAACCTCGTCTGAGGGAGGAAATGCAAATATATTTTACTTTCTATGGGGCAACTGGGAGGGCGAAGAGACAGTGTATATAATCAATTTTATGGGACGAAATTTGGAAAAAGTTTTAAACTCAGATATTGGATGATTTCTGCAATGTCTAAGCAATTGCACCCCTCAGGGAAATTGGTTACTGTTTAAATGGATAGATTTTGTCAAGTCGTGACTTTCTGCGAATAGCTGCCACCCTTTCAGCACCGCCTTTATAATCAGTACATTCCCGTCCAAGTTCACAACCCACCTGCCATTTTCTTTGTTCTTCAACAGGTTAATTAGTTCATCATCCCATTCGCTTTGTGAATCACCAGAGACATGCACTTCTGTATCACAGCACAGACATAAAATCAATTCTTTTTCTAGATTGTTTTTGTTTAGATTCGATATTCCACGTTGTTGTGATCGTACCTTTTTTTTTTTTTTTTTTTCTTAATTTTCTTTTACGTAGGATCCGACTAGGCCTCCTGAAATTCTGTGTCTCAATCAAAATCCATAATGCCCCCTAAACGCTCAGGTCTCTTCTATACTCTAAGGGGTTTCTGTTTTAATACTCCTATATATTTTCTTTAAAAATATCCATCATTTGATTTGTTTACTAGCGTTCGTGTACTTTTCTACTAGAACTAATTCGTATGAGAAAGTGTAAAAGTGAAGTGGAATTTTTTATTTATTTTATTTTTTTGTTTATAAATATTTGTACCTTTCAATGCAGATGCAGGCCCGAGTAGCACACGCAGGAGGAAGATGAAAGAAGGTGTTGGTGGTGGTGATCAAAGCTTAGTGCCAGCGGCAACCGGGGGAACACCTCCTCTTCCTCTGCCGGCGGGGGCAACTGTTCGATACTTCCCTCTCCATCACCAGCCTCCTTTTACGTCCACATGTCCACCTCAAACAACAGCCACCAGCCAGTTCTCAAATCCGCTGCTTGAAAACTTGACTATTTCCCCGCCATCGAAACCCTTCACTTCCTTGTTAACTGGCTTTGATGATCAAGACGCTAATCACAAATGCCCAAATTGATCAACTCATCAGAAACCAGGTAATTATTTCTCTCGTTAATCACCACACACTCTTGTCCGTCCAAATGGCCATGCAACACTAACAAATTTATCCCGGCCGATGCGTAATTTTCTCGCAAGTACACCATGCGTGTTACTTTAGAGGTATCGTACGTTTTTTGTATTTAAATTTTTCATGAAAGGTCTACAATTGTTTGTTTTACACATGCACGAGAGATGCACACCAATTAATTTTGCAAATTCTTGAATATACACGAGTAAATTAAACCTTCATAATTAATACACGAGAAATAATCTGCATCGTCAATCATCATATCTTGTAATCTTGTAGACGGGTTTTCACTCTTCTTCAGTGTGTTGTGCAGGTTTGAATTCTATCCAACTAGTACGTAACATGTTTGACTTAATTATGTACACGGCATAATGATTGCGTTTGCATGCAGGGGGAGCATTTCAAATGCGTCTTAGCGGAGATGCAGCGGAGGCAATACGATGCGGTGGTGCACGAGGCGGAGGAGAAGGCCGCCAAGAAAGTCAAAGAGAAAGAGTTGGAACTCAACCAGGTGGCCCGCAAGATCCTGGGCTATGAACACAGGGAAGCCCTGTTCCAGAAGGAGAACCAGCTTCTGCAGAGCAAGCTCAAGTACTTGGAGGATACGAATGCTTCTCTGAGGGCGGCTCTCCAAGAGGCTCTCCTCCGGGGGGGTAAAGCGGAGGAGACTGGCGGGAGCTCGGAGGTCCAGCAAGATGAGGCCGAGTCGTCCCACGTGGGCCGGCACCGGCTGGCGGAGGAGGTGGAGCCCATCAAGTTGGCCTGTAGGGCCTGCGGGAAACGAGTCGCCACCGTGATGACGTGGCCGTGTCGCCACGTTAGCACCTGCACCCGCTGCGATGAGACCACCAAAGCCTGCCCAGTTTGTGGGTCCATTAAGACCACCAGTGTTGAGGTGCGTCTTCCGTAGGCTCTGCAGCCCACGCCTGTTAGGACGTCATGGGTTGGGCCATCTCCATCTTCCTTCGTCTCATGGGCTTTTTTTTGTTTCCAATCGGTCTTGTATACTTCTGTTTTTCTTACAGCTTCAAGCTACTCGTATGATGTATCATCTCACAGACTACTATGTATATTATGTAGGATTGTGATCCAAATTAAGGATTTGAATTTATTATTATTATTTTTGATGTTTGACATGAGGATTGGAAATGGTTTGTTTTTTGTATGGAATTAGTATGGGGTTGAAATTAATTTTTTTTTTGGTTGGAATTATAATTTCATCATTGCAAATTTATTCCATTGAAGCAACAAAGTCATGGCCCCTAGTCGTTGCTAAGATTTATTGTTTCGTATCATTCATTTCTTGTGAAGTAAATAGGGTCTTTGTTGTTAAAAAAAGAGGGACTCTCATCGTATTCATTAATACTTGAGCAAATTATCTTAATAGCCATTAAACTTTTCAAATAGTCAAGTTTTGACCATTCAACTATTAATAGTATGTTTATATTCACTAAATTATTAAAAGTGTAAATTTTGAGTCATTCGGTCTGATTTTGTCATTAACAGTACTAGATCTAATTATTAATAGTATGTTTCGTAAATCGTGCAGACTCTTAGATCTAACAAAGTTAACGGTGAAATCAGAGGGAATGACCCAAAATTTACATTTTTGATAGTTTAATAGGTAAAAATATACGACTAATAATTGAGTAGCCAAATCTTAATTATTGAAAATTTAGTGACTACAGTTTATAATTCCCAGACTAGCTATCCCGAACTTTTAGAAGGATTGGACAGTTGAACCTGTTGGTCCAGAGTAAATTTATTATTAATTCCACTTATATTATCAAAAAAATTAATCATACTTGCTAATTGCCCTGTTGGGGACCGTAATTCATAAGCTCTTTAACTTTAAGGCCTTTTTTTAAAAAAAAAAAAAAAAAATTCTCCATTGCGCGAGATGTCGCGCCATATTTTAGTGGTCTGGGGAAACTTCTGTACAACAAACTATTCAAACAAATCTCTCCTACTAAAGAATTTGATCTGTCATAGTCACGGGATAACTTTGTGGCCTTTTTCTTTTTTTTTTTCTTAGTTTGCATACTGTTTGCGTAGAGATTAAGATAATCTTTCAAAACGTTCCCCGTTACTAGTTTTCGTCCTCAGATAGATGGCACAATACAGGTTAACGGAATTTCCAGGAACAAGCAGCAGAAGATGGATATGGGAGATGAGGATTTGTTGGAAGCCCGACAAATCTTTCCCTGAAGGCCATGCAATCCCTACTTTTTCTTTGTGATTTCTACCTGGGCTAACGTCAAGCGATCCTCATTCCAGGCAACAAGCAAGACATTACTGAGTCAGATGTGGTGCAAAGTTTCCCCAACACGAGAAGGTGGTTTTAACTCATTTTTTATTCACATAAAACTTTTTCCTCTGCACCAATTCTACCATTTTAATGGTGTCAATGGGGATAATAGGTGATGGAGGAGATGGCTTTGAAGGATACTGCAAGGTCTTGCATTGGAGGCAACTTGTTCTCTTGAAGAATGAAAAGGCAATCACACAGGACTGGCAGGAACATCGAACTAGTATAGGTAACAAACTGAAGAGTTTCTCTCTGTATCTTCTTCTTCTTGATATAGATACTAACTTGAAACAGAGATTAAATTGAAGCACAACATGTTTCTACTTTCATCTAGTAATTTATATAAAACGAACCTCTTGATCTCCTTGTGTTGCTTGGCTTTTCGCCACTTGGAACGATTCATTAAGGCAGTCAGATTGGTTGGCCATGCACAACCACGGTGCGAAGGGGAAATCAAGAATCAGTTTGACTTTTCTTTTGTCCTGCGCATTTAATGTCACTGAAGTGGTTCGGGGAAAACACAATTAGAATGTCACAAGATTGGCAACAATTGCACAGGTTTAATTGTTTAATCAAAAAGAGAGAGAGCTACATGTTAAATTCAGGAGGATTACTGCGTTAAAGAAATTTCAAAAACTCCGGTTATACATCGTTTGATCAGATGAACAACCTTTTACAGGGGCCATAAGATAATTTACGAATAGCTTGCATCAAAGAAATGAACTTCAAATTCCATCAAAGGCAAAGAACTGTACAACAATCTGCAGTACCAAGTAGATCACACGGCTGAGAATCATCATTTATTTGCTACAGTGAAAACGGCTTTGTGTACGCATCAAAAGGTTCATTAGCTGTCAACTGGGGTTCCTGCAACAAAGTAAATGATAAAACTTCAATTACTAGCTTCATTTAAGAGAATTTCACCGTATTGCAGTCCTATTTTCTATATACGGCAAGATGATTTATTTCATCTTTAGAAGCTTTAACAAAATCGTGGCCCCATAAAATGAATTATGAGATAGCACCAAGGACATACTTTCTGACATACAAGCTTTAACATGGCAAACTGATTCAGAATGTCAGGAGTTTTACCTCCAGATTTGGGATGAGGATTGGCAAAGACGATGTTTTACCTGTCTCGTACCACTTAGACTGCCACCCGTCAAAAGCATTGTGAGGAGTGATGTCACAATGCCACCTCCTAGACCATCCTCGTTACTGGTGACGGTTGATCTCATTGAATTTAAGATGCTCCCGTATGTGGTTCCCTGTCCACGCTCAATTGCTTGGATAAATGAATAAGTCATGGCCCCCGTTGAAGTCACTTTAGATAGAGCCTGTCCAGCATTTAGATGAGATTAATCCATGCTTTCCTTGTTTAGTTTGAGCTTAGAGAACAGTATGATTTATTAATGAAATAGTAAGCATAAAGCATCAAATCAAGATTGGGAAATGAGAGGAAGTTGTATTGAATTTACATCTGTATCAGCAGCAGTTTGATCGTCGTCACAACCACTAAACGATATGACTTCTCCACCACTTGTTCCTTTCCATGCACCTGATCGAGGGCGATGGTCCTCCCATGTATACCTCCCAGTTCTACACAGCAAAGATTTAAGCAGCTTGAGAAAAAAAAAAAAATTTTCAAGGGATCTCAAAGAGAAATATGTCACTCGATTGGCTGAAAAACCAGCCATTTTCAGAATAATTTATCTATTTTCTTTTCTGACCTCTCTGATCATTAGATACTAGACATCAAGCAGTAAATGTTCAAAGGATTGATGAACCTGTCCATCCTACAAAGGAATGGTAAATCCAGCACTGTGCCACTGTGACATGCATCTATGATAGCATGAAGCTTAGCTCCACGAGGAAGTGGCCTAACAATGGTAGCATTAATTTCATCATCAACTATCATCCCTTGTGTTTCAAAATCCAAAGGACAAAGTGTTTCATCATAACCATCAACCTCATCACCGTTGTAGTTCCTTTGCTGTGAACCATGACCTGAATAATGGAATACCAAGGAATCAGCTGGCTGACAACCTTGCACAAGCCAATACATGGCCATTCTGATGTTGTGTTTTGTTGGAATACGGTAAGGATCTGTTTCTTCTTCTGAAAAGATAAGTCCACAGCAAATTAGATTACAAACTGCCATTTTGGTTGTACAACCTCTATTAATTAGTTAATTAGCTAAAGGCACGAATTGGCAGAAGCTTGTTATTAATCGACGAGTATGAGGATAAAAAGTACTCTTTCATTAACTAGCCACGATTCAATCATTTAGTTATCGAACAAGAAATATACTCAGAAAATCATGTTATACTCATTCTCGGTCAACATCCTGTCATAACACTATGAATAAACAGAGTTGAGTCTCATAGCAAAAGAATATGCATGCACTATTTCTACTGCTGGGGCTTTGAACTACTGAATTTTTGGATTTTCAGTTACTTATTTAGAAGCTATTAAGAACCACTCACAATATCTCTTTGCTTTGAATATGGTTGGATTTTCTCCAGATATTGTTACCATTATTGCAGGATTCCCAGACAGGATTTGATCAGGAGTTGTTGTTAATTTGTGGAACACCTTAGTAAAATTCTTTACGATACTCTAAAATCAAAAGCATGTTTATGTGATTCTTGCAATTACATTAAGTGGATAGGATACCTAGCCTTTGCTTGCAAGATTCACAATCTTGCTGATTTATATTTGAAGATGGAATAAATTCCTAAAGTAACAAGTTTGAAACTGGAGGTGTTCCAGTTTCTTGCTTCAGAACCTTTTATTGAAATTATAACCACCCATCTTTCAGCTGTCAATTAAATGATTTAAGAATCTTTTAGTTAGGATAGTCATTGGTGGACCCAGAAAGTTTAATATAATGGTGTGTGGGTTATTCAGGCAACAGTGAATATTCAGCTTCGGCAGTTGTTTTCTGCGAATTTATTAAACATGGTAAAAATTTGGTCATCCAAGCTGCAAGGGAAACGCGGTATTGATTATGTGTTTGAAAAAAAGTAAAGAAAGCCAGAATTGATTTAGATATGCTAAGCAAACAGACAGGGAGAGTGTGCAAAAATAGATATACCAACTTATATCTGCTTGTAGTAGCCTAGTAGGGATCTTGCAGCTGGGAACAGAAAGGGAAGAACTTTTCAGAAACAGAAACTAAAGCAATGTTTTTTTTTTTTTTTGGGAACTAGCAAGTATCCAGCAATCAGTCAGACCTAAAAATAGTGAATAAAAATCAGACACAAATCAAGAACCTCGAATTCTCACAATAAATTGAAATCCCATAACAGAAAAAATTGGTAGAAATTTGGAACAGGTTAATGCCTGAAGAAACAAAATAATGCACATTAGCGCAAAGTCGTAAGAAATGGCAAGAGAAAGGCGTGTAACTATCACCGGTGAGCATGAGAATAGAATCGGAAGGAAACTTGAAGCGATTGATGAGCAAGAACTTCATGCACTTAGCGTCATTGATGCAGCCTCTGAGTTCCTGTCTGGTGTTCCTGTAGGATATCCCGCAAATCACGGCTTTCTTGCGACCGTGGACTCTAGGGGGTTGACCTTGGGGAGCATGGTTGTAA